CATCCCCAGGAGAGGAAGAATTTTCCAGGCTGGGAAATGCCCACGGCCTGTACAGCAGCAGAGCAGTAAAACAAAACAAAGCACAACCAACAAGAGCCTCCTTTCCATACATTATAAATAGGTGGCAAGGAAGATTCAGTCCCACCCTAAGTAAGTGGCGGCAGGATGCAGCCCGGCGTGGCATCCGTCCCTCTGGCCGGTGCTGGCAGGAAGTTAACGGGGGACCCCAGAGCTGCCCGAGCCTTTCCGCACAGCCACCACTTGCAGGCTGCGGGACAGACTCTGCCTGGGGGATTGCACTGATTTTCTGTCCCTGGGGTACGAGGAAGACGCTTTCATTCCGTTCCCAGGGACCTTGAAATGAAATGTTTTCTTTCCCTGTCACCCATGAAATGGCAGACGGTTTTACTCCCCCCTCAAACCACCGACCGGGTTGCCCTCCAGGAACGATGCAGCTTTTATTCCAAGCTGGCGTTCCCGCACAGGAAGCTCTGCTGAAGCAGCGCCGCAGAGCAGCGTCTCTGACACGGTTACGCTGCCCAGCCTCCCATGCAGACAGGACTCGCCTAACACAGTGGTGACGAAGTGCCTGCAGCACGGCAGGGAAAATAACCTGTTGCTTCCCAGCCAAAGGTTTCCTCTGGCTGCCGTTGCTCTGTGCATCTAGGCATTTACTATGCAGTACAGCTTGTCTCAGCATAACCAGAAAATTCTTCTACTGTGTTTGCATTTTTTACCAGCTCAGAAGAGCTCTGTACATCTAAACGCTAAGGTTTCATTAATATTTGTGGTATTTCATTTCCCCAAAATGGCCAATACTTGTTACTCTATACTCTTTGTCTAACAGTCTATTGCTATTTCATGCTCTTTATAGAAAATCTTTCTCTGTAGAAAGAAAAATATTTTAAATGAACTCCTTTATGGACCTGAGCTTTGACTCTGCCTTTTCTTGAAACCTTTCTCCAACTCATGTGATACTTCCAGATTCTAGATATGCAGAAGTACCCTACTGCCTTCCAACGTCTCTCTTCCAGCATCTCTCGTCATCAGCAGTCGGTCTGTCTACACCAGGCTGTCCCAAAGACGGGGCCTCACGTACTAAGAGGCAAAGAGGCAAAACACGAAAAAACCCCAAACCCACATATGTGAGAGGGTATTACAGGATCAGGCTCAAAACATTATACATCCGAAACATGTGAAGCAACAAAAGCCCAACCGTGAGTCATTCCCGTTTTGCATCAGCTTGCTTTCAAATTGCTCCCTGTGGAATTTAACAGACATAATAGAAAATAATAGAATTGAAAAATGGGAACTATTTCCACATTGTGGGTTTTTCCCACAGTGGATACAATTTGAATTGCTAATTCACTGCCAGATGTGCAACCACAGACTCTGTGACAACCATCCTCTTCCTACGGTACTTAATTATTTCTTATTGTGACACACTGGGTATGCTCCAGGATTATATTTAGCCCAGGTTGGAGGGCTTCCTTTTTTGTTTTTAATGAAAGAACCCTTAGAAATGGGTAAATTCAAACCTATGTGGCATAACATTTTAAATAATTTAAAAGGGTAACCTTCTGAGAAAAACGTCATTTATGAAAACATTAAAGGGGAACTCCTGTCTCCAGTAAAGCCTGTGGGAGTTCTTCATTGCTTTCACATCCTCCAGAGATTTTCTTTTCTATTTAAAAAATCTACCAGCAGTTTTTAGTAAGTGGCCTTTGTGCAACTCTACCTCAGTCACAAAAGTTAAACCTAATTCCACAGTGCAATGACAGACAATATAGGAAGAATATGCAGAAAAATTGTTAGCTGGCAATATACTGTTTATGTCAATTGCTAAAAAACTACCCAGAACAGAATAACCTGTATAAACAAAGTATAAGAACTGGAAAAGGTACCGAAATTAATGACAAAAACACCAATTTGGGAAAAACTGGAGCATCATATTGTCTATGTCATCCTACTTGAAAGCTATCTTGTCATATCTGAAATAAGTATAGAGCATGTGCAAATAGGTATTATACCAATTTTAGTATCGGCATAGTTAATGATTTCCAAAACTGTAACAGAACAAACGATGCTAGTTTGGGCACTCTGAACTGAAAAGCCTAAAAACAAACGACGAATTGGGAGAACCACTTGGGATTCAGAGAAAACCCCGACCAAGCGCTGGCTGTGTGCACATCATTGGTCCACTCCAGAGAGGCTAACTCTGAGTAGGGTGAACGTGAGCTGAGCCGCACACGTGCTCTCGTGCCAGAGATGGTTTCCCCTGGCAATGCACACACAGCCCGTGCTCATCTAGTGGGATTTTCTACAACTAAAAGCTGCTGACGCTTTCCAAATCAATCTTTATTTCAAAATTATCGGTGAATTTTAGTTGGTCATCATGTATCACTTTTCTTTAGAGGAAGAAAAATGTGTTTTAGTGGAATGCAATTTAAAATAAACTTGATGCACAATAGGCTCCTCTGGCACGAAGCAACCTGTAAAGTCATACAAGAGTTACTACTCGGTGTCACTATAGTTCTCCTCTGTGAAGATGAAGTACTACCAACACATAACCGTATTACAATAAATCACCTGATTTTTGTTGGTCTCTGTTACACAGCAATCGTTACCAAAATGTATAACAGGGCTTTGGTTTTTTTATCGTTCAGTCTCTCTCTTCTTGAGTAGTAGAACAGATTTTGAACATAATAGTACCTGCAGAAATGTCTGGATAGATCCAAATAGGTATTTTGATTACTTGTACTCCTTGTTCAACATTTGTTAGTATTTACTTTCATAGTTTATATTATTCCCAAGCACACACACAAGACCACGTGACTAAAATTCATATGACAAGAAGTGGTTCCTGTGTCACACACAAAAGCGAACGTTAATACATATTTCAAAACCCTTTTTGAAATGTCCCCTGAAACCCAGCAACAAGCCAGACTGGGTGAAAAACAAGCAAGTCCCACATCTCTGAGAAGGGCACTACCCGATGAGGGGGTGGGTGTCCCCATCCCTGCCTTTTCACCTGGCAGCACTGACTCTGGTCCTCCGAGAGCCACAGCCCACATCACCGCTTCCAGCGCTAGCAGGACCAAAGGACGTGAAGGGAACTCAGAGTTAAGCTCTTGATGATGTTGAAAGATGTGGCACTGGGGACCTGCTGTCTCTCGCAGCTGGCACCTGAATCCACCGCTCCTGTGGCGCTTCTTAGCAGACAGCTCTGAACCCACTACCTGAGACGGGAATGTTTATTCTTTCTTCTTCAGAGGCCCTGCCTCGAGACCTAAAGCCTTGATAGACGAGGTACGGACAATGCTTTACTGGTACTTAGCTTGGAGCTGAAGAATTTTGGAATTTTGGGGCATTTGGACCCGCTTCCTTTCCCAGCGTACTTGAAGCACAGTAGCTCCTACAGGCTACTGAAACTCAGCAGGACCCAGTTTTTCAGAGCAATCAGATGCTTCTTAGCAGTGCTGTCTGTTTCAACTTCCATTTTCTTCCTGAGAATCAGTACTGGCATGCACTTTGTTTCAGGACAGGCATGAGGCCTGAAAAGCGATTTCTACACCGAGTAGTATCCTAATTCAAGGAGCAGTCTATACCCAAAGATTTGAAACACCCCTCAGGCCAAGCATTTGTGCTACCTTAGGCTCACAGAGATGTGCTACTGGAAACTAAATTTTTTTTCTGTAGGTTAGAAATCTTAGCCCTTGAGGAGGGGAAGGTAGAAGAACAACAGTGCCCAGAGATGAATCACTTCCACTAGTGTGTATGTTGGTATGTCAAGTATCAGTAGAGTTGCTGGGATCAAAACAGTGCAGGGGTTCTCCATATAGTGGCGCATTCTTTACATCTGTTGATGCACACTGAAACTGATTGAACAGCTCAAAAATGAGTGCCTGAATACCACTACAAAACAGCATGGAGCTACAGCATGTTTTAGTTTTGGTCTTATCGTATCCTCTGAAAAAAAAGACAAAATCTGCTGATGAATATAGATACAGCATGGAAAACCTAAAGCAGCAAGAACAGCAGCTGAAGGCTTTTGGGACTGTGAACCTCTGTGTAGTGTCGTACTAGCGGAAGATGCCCTCTGCTTCTCAACTTCTGATTCCGAATTTGCAACAGCCATGCTGCCCACATCCCAGATGTGGGGTCTCTAAAATCACCCCTTTTAAACTTATTCATACCCAAAATAGTTTTTGAGCTCCAATTTTTGTGGTTGGTTTCTGCTTAGGGGTGAATTGTAAATACAACCGAAACCTGAGTGCCCATCCCTTCAAAGAAGTTCCTGCCTTCTTCCTCTCTGGGAAGAGGTAGTGAATACCTCTGACAGGTATTCAGGTCACACAAACTCTGCCACAGACATGATTATATTCTGGAAAGAAGGAGCACGCTCGGCTCTGCCTCAGAGGACTCTCAGTCCAAAGCCAGGCCAGCTGGAACACCCCTCAATAACCACTAAGCCACACGGGAGCGAGCTGAGAACAGCCCACTTCACTGAGGCCACCGTGAAGCCACCAAGCAACATCAACCAGCGGTTACTTCAGCCGTCCTTACAGTAAGGAGAATTCCCAGATCTTTTTGGAGAGGTCCAGTTTTAAGATACCTTTGACACTACCAATGCTCTGTACAAGATACCATTTTATGGAGCTGAAAAGCCAGAACCGCAACGCTTACTTTTAGAGCAACAGTAGGGAGGCAAAGCAGAACCAGGAAGAAATTATTAAGAATTGCTCATTTCCTGCTATAAGAAGATACAAGATTGCTGGGATAGACAGCAAAAAGGAAAAATTAGTTTCTTTTTCATGTCCCAGGATGCTTCTAGAGTTTTCTTTTCCTGTATCAGGCAGCGGTTAAAAACCTAAGTCTTCTGCATGGGAGTCTTGAGTCCCACCATAAGCAAGGAGGAGAGCAATGTCACTGTCTTTTTCCACCTCCTTTATTGCAGGATTTAAACCTGACTTTTCTGAAGACAATTGCTCTTCATGGACTTTTCTGAAGTTCCTGTCTCCCTCTTAAGTTCTTTTAGATCTACTCTTTTTTGCAGCTTCGGCATCAAAAGGAACTTTTGTTGGAAGTTGCCTATTCACAATACTTATGCATTACTTCCAAATAACCCTTTTAAAATACCAAGCTACAAGAAACCCAATTTTATCTAAATCTTGAATTTTGGAGAACATTTTATGCCTCAATAAAATTTCAGGAAAAGGATCTTAGGAACCTTTAAGGGAGAAAATTAGTGCCAATATTCCTTCTTGAGTAATTCCTGCATGAGAATGTAAGTTTTCATTTCCTAATGGGATGAAGGAATTAGCAGTGTCACATTGTGCACTGTGAAATAAACCTCAAAGATTCTCCTGGAAAAATGCAGTAAGGCATCCCAAGGTCACATTTCTTACCTGTGTTACAGACATGTTCTATTAAAGACACCATTATAGATCTGTCATAATTTTTGATGACAGATGTCCCAGACAACCAGTCTTGTTAGACTATCATTAGGTTCTAAATGCAGCTATATTTTGTTACATCTGGAGTCAACCTGTGCTCAGCTGGGTAGCCAGGATCATCCCTGCATCTCTGAAGGAGCTCTGCAAGTCCTCATGCTTGATTTAAGATACTAACGTGAAACACTGCTTAAACTAGAACAAAAGATCGCTATGACCTTTACTTCTGGGCTACCATCAGGCTGAAAACATCCCTCCTGTTCCGTACACTTTGCATTAAGCAATTTGTCAAAATTCTTCAAGGAAACTACTCTTCATCTGGTTTCTCTAAAAGCTGCATCACTTGAAACCAGACTAAACTTGTACAACTTTCTCATGTTGATGAGGTCTTCAAATCTGTACCTATCAATTTCAGTAAGAGTTATATCTGTTAGCTCATGCTGCTTTTTACACTAACGACAAATTATATCTTACTACCTGCCTATTATTATATCTTACTACCTGTCTATCCTCCTGCATGGAGGATGCAGCAGGTCTGGTCACGCATTTCCAGGGGACTGCTGAAGACCTGCATTTCCATTCTTTACGTCTAAGCAACCTCATGGTCCTTATTAATTGTTCCCCTTACTCCACAGAAATCATGTTCTGGGCATATACTTCTTCTTCAGTTAAGTTATTTTAAAGGATATGTTTCTGTGCCAGATTTACACAGGCATTACTCACCTATCACTTCAGATGAACGCAGACAAGGGCAGGCAGACAGCTAACCTGCCCACGCTCTTCTGACAACTCCTCCGAGTGCCTATCTGTGTAAATCTGGTCCACGCTCTGGTTAGCTCACCGAATTCCCTCTTAGCCAATGACCTTCATATTTCCCATGCTCTATCTACTCCTTTCTGAAGGCTTCCCTTGAGTTGTAATTACAGTATTTGAAGGGTTCCCAATTTGTTTTGAGCAGCTTCTGTATTTTGACATCTACTATTCCTTGCCTTGCCTTGCTCACTCACTGCCTTTTTAAACACATACGTATTTCCAGGGACATTTTTTAGTGCATTTGGGTATTTCTGTACTTTTTTGAAGGATTTAAATTAGATTACTTTTGCTGTCAGGGTATTTTTAAGATTATTTCCACCCTAAAAATTTCCCTTTCATGGTTTCGTGTCATGATGTTAAGTTTCAATACAATCCCTCCCATGAGAATACCTTGTATGAGAGTATATGAGGGAACTGAAACTGCCTATGAAAATATGAAAAAAATTCCCAGCACTGTAGCAGATGACATTCTTCAAATCCTTTTTCTGACATGGAGTGACTTACGCTATGTGCCATGACAACTGAAGAGCGATATGTGACAGGGAGATCTTTATGCCTCACCACAAAATTATGTACTCCTAATTTTTTATTTTTGCACGTTAGCATCGTGAAGATAACCAAAAAAAAGAACAAAAACAGGTTAATGGAGTGTTATACAAGCTCTGGCACTTTCTGTGATACATGTCTTTCTAGAAAAGCATTATCCAGCACAGCATTCCCTCACCTGGGAAGCGGGAACTCGACCACTGGCTCCCTGCCCTTCTCAGCCAGTCACAATTTTAGGAGCATAGCCCTTTTGCAAAGACAAATTCAGGTGTCAACTCCATGGAGGACTCACTGTGCATCTCTCTGTGAAAAACTCTGAAGGGTAATGCTCCCTAAACTAGCTGAGCTGCCTGAAGCAGTCTCGCTGTGGTAGTACAAAGCCTGTGGGCTACTTTGCCTTGCTGAGGGGAAGTCTGCAGCGTAGGGCAGGGAGACCAGTATGACATGTCTGATGCCTCAAACGCCGTCATGGGTCCAATAAGGAGACTGGGTGAGTGATGCCATTCCAAAACATCCTTTTACAACCAGCAACACACAAACAAACCTAGGTTGCATTCAGAGAAACATCTCCACTTGATTCAGGGGGTCGCTTGCTGATGCTCTCCAACGCAGCGTGTCCACTTCAGGAGGTATTCATTGTGCCCAAACGGTAAGTCTCATGCGCCCAGTCTATGCAAACTCTCTCAAAAGTCAGCAGAGGGAAGCTTTTTGGCAGGGGGTGAGGGGACAGCAGTTAGAGCATGAGCATAACATAGACGCCTGAATCATCCTCCTGAGAAACTCTCTCCTCTCTGCTGAGGAGAGGAGAAGAGCAGGGAAACCATCTTCGTAATTCATGCACTACACCATGGTGTGAGCCCTCCTCCCTGGAAACTTCTCTCCTGCTCCTACTTCTCTGGGCTTACTTCCACGGCTGGCACAACCCTACGTTCTCACAAGCTTGTCAAGCAGGTTTCTAGCCAGGACATCGATACCTTATTTTTGTTTATTCAGTAACAGCAGCTTCCAGGCTTTTGATACACTGTTGTCCGTCCCCAGGACTAAGCATCATGAGAGGGGAAATCAAAAGGAATTTAGATCAGGAGGAACAACAACAACCTTCAAACCCCTTTTTTCCTCCTTCAGCAGAAAAAGGAGAGAGGAACAAACAAACAAATCCAGGCCCATTTGGTGACAGAGCTGCAGAACTATTGTGCCTCAAAGGAAAACTTATTCCAGAGCAGTACTGATCAACAGCACCCTGTATAAAGCATTAATGGGAAAAGTTAACTGTGCTCATCTATGGATTTAGGAATATTTTCTAAAAGGAGAAGAAAGAGCTCACAAGCTGAGCCACATAGATTATTTTGTCTTCACACCTTTTAAGGGGGCAAAATGAAGATCACATATGTACGATCGCCACTATATAATGGTATAGTTACAAGAATAAACTGTTTAACTGCAAATTGGTTCCTAGTTATCTATGGAACCAGAGGAAGGACTCATTGAACAATGACATAAAAAATGAAAAGCTGAAAAAGACTACAACAGAATATTCTCACATGTATATCAACTTTAAAATACGGAGTTACATAATACCTACTAATACAGACTATATCACATAGATGGTTAACACAAAACCTTTCTGAGGATGAGCTGCAGTGATTATTTTCAGTCTGGCATGGGAATGTTCTTTGCCTTCTTTTCTCTCTCTCCCCCGTCCCTTATTGCCTTCTCTATTGTCATGGCAAATTTCTAAATTTGCTTTCATTCTGCATTTCTAGGTAACACCAGATTTTGAAACTCTGTCTTTCTGAGCATATATAATCCTGGTCTCCAGGCAAGATTTAATAATAAGTGATGTTAAACTTATGAGATGCAAATACCTGAAACTCTGGAAATGTGGCTAGTAAGGAGGCAAAACCCGTCCCCACAGCATGTGGAGAAAAGCAGCGTCGTTATCGGATGACACTCTGGTCTCAGCCAGGTCCGGAGATTTCACCGGAGCCACGATTTTATTTTCTCATATATATTTGCAAATCCCTCTTTATTGCCAGCGTGAGGCAGGTAAATACTTCAACATTAATGAATGAGAGGCCACCCTGCCTGATCTACAATTGGTATATTATATGCTGTCATAGTTGTTCTCCAAATATTTTGGTATTAGATTTGGCAAGGAGAGGAAACGAGCAGTACTGAGTCAGTCTTTCAGGACGGCATATACAGAGAGCAGTGCAACAGAGATGCAGGGATCAACCCTTTGGGGATCCTATGCAGACAATGATATATAAACTGTTGTTGTCTCAACAGTAATGGAAACGAGACAGGGAAGGTACCGGTCTTCAGGCTACATGTGGTGACTAATAAATCGGATGTTGTTGAGTCTGGTTTGCTGCAGGAAGGTGAATTTAATGAAAACCTGTGCCTATTGGGTGGTTCTGCGGCTCACGAACAGAGCACGGGAAAAATACGCTTCTGCAGAAATGTCACAAGAAGCCACTATCCGGCCTTGGCAAATTGTCTCAAAAGAGAGAATTAATGTATTTTGATAAAAAAGATTGAGGAAAATAAGTAAGGTTACCTCTGGATCTTAGCGTTTTTGGAAAGAATTCCTTCCAAATCTTAAATATACATATAGAACTGCTTTAGGGCCAAGGTCAAAATTTAAAAACAAAACAATGGCAAAACTCCAGCTGGTTGTGCCCAAATTCATTTAAAGAATTTAACCATCAGGAAGTTTCTTCATCATATTATGCTTTGAGATTTGAGTTTAATTACTTTGAGGATCAAAATATGGCATTGTCTTACCACCATAACCTGTTACACACCTTGTCTATTTCGAAAAAAAGTAATTTTTAAATTATGAAAATGAAACTTTACTGTACATACTTAACAGAGGTTATCAGATCAGGGTTGTGAAAACAGTTAATATACTCAGTTGGACAGCCCTCCCTTCACCATCCCACTTCTCAAAAAGCAAGTTATTCTTCCTTCTCCCTCCTGCCTCACAGAAAAGAAATAAGATCTTCGAAGAAACAAAAGTTCATCTTATTTATTCACAGTGTAAAAAAAAAAAAAAACGAAAAGATGCTTTCCAATAAATGCATACCAGATAGCATTGTAAACAAACATTATCCTGGTGAAAGAAGATGCTGAAAGTCATCAGTACAGATTTCAGCAATTGAAAAACTGTATTAGCACAAGTGGTGTATGTAACTCCTTCAGTTACTTTTTGGCAGTAAAACAAAGTTCTGTTTATGGGGAATGCACAATGATTTTACACGACATGCAAATTTAAGAGCTGCAAAAATTCCACAGAAAGGGCGTTAAAAGAGCTGAGTGAAACTTCCCTTTTGTCAGGTAAAGTTCTCTGAAAAATGGTGGCTATTCTTTTGCAAAATAATGTGAAATTGCCCTGATTTTCTGAATGGCGCTGGCTGGGAAAAAAATTGGGACTAGATGCACAAAATCAGAAGAGGAGTCAGTGTTTTTTTTCTGCATTTTATTTAAAGCCTGTGGAGAACAGGCTGCAGTTTAGCCAGGCGGCCAGCTTGTGGGCCGATCCCCTGCTCCCATCCCAGGAAAGAGGGGATGAGGAGTGCGCAGGCTTGCCTGCCCTGCCGCGGGGACGTTGGGACTGCAGTCACACCTGACGTTTCAGCTTCCCGGCAGAAAGGTTGCTCCCATCCCATTAGCATCTGCCTGGAAAAGTTAGATTGTCCTGCTCTGTACCGCCGTGAGGATTCATATCCCCTCAGGCAGAGAAAGAAACTGAACTCATGTCTCCCACATCATTAATGAGGCTTCCAGAAGTTGCTGAGTTACAGAACTTCTCTATTTTCATCAAAAATGCAGAAAAGGTAATTTGATGTCAAAGTTTAATTTCAGGGCAAATGGAGTATTTGCTTAAGTAGAGAAAAACTTCCTTTTTTTTTTAACAGTATGAACAAGTAAGAGGAACTTTCAGTTTGGATTCAAGCCACAATTTTGTTTCTTTTCTGGGAAGCTGAAGAGATAACGAAGAGTAACTTGCTTTCTGGGAAGTGGGATGGTGAAGGGAGGGCTGTCCAACTAGGTAAATTCACTGTTTTCACAACTCTGATCACCTCTGCAGAAGGAGCTGCTGTGGGATGAGGGCTGATGCCTACGCTGAACGTGTTCATACTCCCTGACTCAGCTCTGCACGACCCCAGCCCTGAGGCGGAGGACGCCTCCAGCTTCACAGCCATCCGCATACCCTCTGCTGGGTGGGAAGGCCGCCCTTTCAGACAGGACAGCTGTGGGGCACTTGGTCTTCTATGCCACACGTATGGTGCGGCCAAACCTTCCCCACCGTCATACACTCGAGGCATCAACGGGCCTCAGCAGAGGGGAGCGCAACACGCAATGCCAGGCCTGGGCTTGGGCTCCAGCTCAGGACTAGACCTCGTACACCGGATAGATGTATCTGCGGGATCTTCAAAACCTCCTGTAACATACGTTTGGATCTCACATGTTACTGACTAAGAGTATAACTACACCGTATGGTGGCCTGGGCAGAAAAGTTGATTTAAAACATTTCTACCCTCTGCTGCTGGTTCCCACTCCCATGCCATAGGTTGCTGCCCCCTCAGTTGTGTTAATACAACTTTTTCTATTTGCATCTTTTGCAGAAGCTTACTGTAAATCAGATCACTAAAAATCTGTATTAAAAAAAATCCTTTGGTGGGGAAATAAAGATAGTTTGTAGGAAAAATCCTACAAGTATATACATCTAAGACACAAAAAAAGCCCCTCTCCGAACAGCCCCAAATCCAAATTACTGCATTATTTTTGATGCAAAGACCGCTTATTTTGCCAGAACGTACAAGTCACTTGCCCGATTAAAATGAGTTAGGCTTTCTTTCAAAACATTCCTGTCATAGACTAATCATATAAATTTTTTGGACATTGTTTATGCAAACTACAAGTAAAACTTTCTTAGTTTTAATATAAATTGTAGTAATACTAGTGAGAGGAGTTGCTGTTGCTAATCTCCAATGTTGTTGCTCAAACGTCCCAGCTACACATTACCCAGGAAATCTTTCCCAAGTTTTCACCTTCTGATTTAGTGAAGTACACTTCTGTCCCAGCAATTAACTAAGTAACAGGCAAAAACTGAACCACAAACCTTGTACCGACACACACCCCCAAAACAGATCACCAGCAACAAAACAAATACCAGGAGAACTCTGAAAAGCCTGGTTTTAGCACAGGAATACCCTGAGCCCTGCTTGGCATTCTAGGAACCGGGAGCAAGCTTACATTTTTGGGGGAGCTAAAGAAAAAAAAAAAGAAAACACAATCTTTGATCAGTTGTTCAAATTCTCAAGGTGGAAATCGTGCAGTACTGCAGGGGATGGAGTGGCCAGCAAAGAGGAAGGTTTAGCCCTGCTGAACACAACCGTTACCAGCGAAGCCGCCCTCTCTCCCCAGTAAACTGCGGGAAAGTAAGACCCAACTCAAAACTGATGGCGGGAAAACTGGAATCTCAACCTTTCTCTCTTCCCATAAACCCGACCCGTCCTTTGCCAAAGGCGAAAAGTCACGCCTAGCAGAGCGAAGCTTCGCGCCCTGCTCCCGTCCCCGCTGCATGGGGTCCCGTCCTCGACGGGACTGCAGACCAGCGCCCCTGCAAATGAAAGCGGTGTCACCCAACCCACGCGCGCCTGTCCCCGCCACCCGGCTCCGCTCCACGGGGGGGGCTCGGGGGCGGCGCGACAGCGGAGCACGAGGGCGTTGTTGGTGCAGCAGGCTCGGAAGAGGCTGAGCGGCTCGGGGCTGTGGCACTCCCCCCGCTCCAGGGACCAGACGTCCTCGTCTTCGTCCTCCAGCCCCCCCGGCGGGTAGAAGGAGTCGTCCGAGGCGATGCTGCAGGTGTCGGGCAGCTCGGAGAAGTCCTCGTAGTCCTCGCAGTCCTCTTCCTCTTCCTCCTCCTCGTCCTCCCCGTCCAGCCCCTCGGCGGCCGCCCCCCCCCCCCCCCCCCCC